GCAAAGATAAACGATTTGTTACCAGCGCGAAAGCTGACTACCTTCCTCCTATATACGTTATTTTTTGCCCGTGACATCCGCAAATTATACAAATTTAACGAAAAAAAAAAAAAAAAAAAAATATCCATATCTCGACAAATTCTCTTTCAAACTCCATTTTGACGCGATAATATACCTGATACACAAGCGTGCGTGAAAATGATTTATAATTTTTCTCTGCCGCCGACTTTTACATACTTTGCACGTACGAGATAATTGTTGCAAAAGTAAACCGTCGTGGGTGGCTTGTCGTCGTTTGCAATGACAGGCGATTCGCCATGGAGGTAAGCAGCCAAGCTCTGTAATTTAGCACTTTACGAGCGATCTCCAGTCATAACCGGCAGATCCGGAAACAAAGCGTGAATTTTTCTTTCCAAGCCGCCAACGGGAGAAAAAATCGTAAACCGCGATCGCGGAAAATATATGACATTACTTTACCGACCTCTCTCAATTTCATCGTTACATAATTTTCTAATTTCTAAATCTATCGCCGACAAAATATTTTTGCAAGCCATCCTTGCGTTAATTTAAAAACGCTTAGAGATCAATCAAAGTTGGGCTATAATTTTAAGACATGCTATAAATAAAACAGTATAATTTCGGCACGCGATAAATAATTGCAAATGATGCTAATATCTTTATTCTTTGATTACATTTAATCACGACGAATTGATTCGATAAAGCTAAAACTCGGTTTCCGCTTCGGTTTATCGGATAAACGCGTCGCGGAAAGTTATTTCAACTTAAGCGCACATGTGTAATATATGTGTGAGTGTGTATGTGTGCTTAAAAAGAAGAAAAAAAAAATGGAACCACATGTGAAGTGGACAGGCGGAGAAAAGAAGGGAGTACGGTGAACGATGTATGATGTCATTTTGCGGTTCGCGAAAATTCCGGGGTTTCAAATATTGGAACGCATATCTCTGCAGGCAAACATTTATTTAACTCCCCCTCGTCGTTCGAAATCACTACGGTCCGAGAGCGCGATTTCAATCTCCCTGTTTTCTCACCTTTCCCCCTCGTTCGATTGCAGGCGCGTTTATTCGACATTTCGCGCGAACGTGCCTTCGAACTGGCGACCGACGAAATGCAATCCGATCGATGGCGACGCATCGAGTACGCACTCCGACGTAGTGCTACGGTGTCGATTAATGGACTGGAAGCGATCTTGTTTCCAGCGTGCGTGCGCGGGAGACCATTCCGGCCTCGATCAATCTGCTGCAAAAATTAAGGTGTGCGACCACGTCGCCCGCAGGGCGGCCATGCATCAAAGAAAATCGAGTTCTTATACTTAGAATTCTGCACCTAACGCCTTTCGATTTCTTCGGAATCGAAATTATTTTTCTTTTACCCCGTACACAGTAGAAAAATTTGTGTTAAATATTTAACACGTTCATGTGTTAATTTAACATATTACTGTTCTGTTCATTGAACTTAAATGTTAAATTATTAAAACAAACTGAAAAAATGTAAAAATAACACAATGTGCATCTATTGTTAATTTTACACAATAAATATGTTCTGCTTTATTAGTGACAAGATTTTTCTGTTAAAATTTATAGAAAAAAATTTTACACAAAATTTATTTCAAATTTGAAGTTTTGCATTTAATTAAATTTGAAGTTCTTGTGTTAAAATATTAACATGTTTGGGACATGTGATATCTGTTAAATTTAACAGAAATTTTTCAACTGTGATCGTTAAAAAGTTTGATATGCAGACACAATCTCGTCTAATTAATTGTTTAAATAAATTTGCTCCTAAATAAAATCTAGACACACACATATACGTCGATAGTTGTATTAAAAGTGAATAAAACTAAAAAAGCTTTTGCCAATTTTTTTAATGTTCAGAATGTAGATAAATGTAATTTAAACGTTATTAATTATTTTATTATAAACCGAATTTATTTCTACGAATATTTCATTTTCTTTTATTATATCAAGAGATTTAAACTTGAAAATTAAAATGAGAAAGAAATAAGTGATATCTAATTACATTTCCGTTGTGAAATTAACTCTATATTTATAAACTATTTTTTGCTATATAATATTAGATCATATATATTTTGTGTGGAACTTATAATTTCTTCTAAATAATATAATTAATAATTTTTATATAAATTATATAATTAATATATTCTGCTTTATTAGTAACGAGATTTTTCTGTTAAAATTTCCAGAAAAAAATGTTGATTTTCTATTTTATAATATAAGCGGGGATGATAAAATCTAAAATTAATATATTTTTTGTTAATTTTTACATTAAAAATTTATTTCAAATTATTTGAAATTTTGCATTTCTTTTATGTTAAAGAATTAACACAATATTTGTGTCTCCATTTAACATATCCATATTCTGTTCAATTAACAGAAAAATTTCTGTGAACCGTTTAGGACGTGTAATATCTGTTAAATTTAACAGAAATTGTTCAACTGTGCAACATCTCTTTTTTTCTGCGATCAGAATAAAAAATGGGACTTGACATTAATTTTTTAAAATAACTTTTATAATTCTTCTTTGTTGAAGAGAGCTGCGAAGAATTCAAAGAAAATGTATCCTAATTAAATGAAGTACTGTACATACATACAAGACACAATGCGCGAAGAGGATCAAGAGTTTTCATCTTATTTTCCCCCATTTCAATGATATCAAAGCGCAGATCTTGATAAATAAATTTTCAATAGACTGTGCGCGTAGAAAATATTTCTTGCGTGGGAACAAAGAAAAGATGGTGATAAAAATAAAAATGACACGCGCGCTTCCGCGTTTCTCGATGCCATTGTTCCCTGACACACGCTCGACGTGGGTGAGCAATCGCGCGTAGGTTCGGAGAGGAGAATGGAAAGTCACCGAAAAGACACGGATCTCGACGGCTCTCGAAGGAGAACTAAATTTAATGTCGCACTTACCTCGGCCCTCCTAGGGGAGTTTACCTGCGTTAATACTCAACGAGCACGGTTAGCCTTCGCGGAGTTAACGCGAATTCGATACGCAGACCGCAAATATACTGCCGCAGCCGTCGCTGCATTTTCAACGAAGAAAACCAGCGTCTGGTTTTCTGCATATTTCATCGGATGCGAATATCCCGCTACTAGATGCACACCTTACAGTTAGATGTGCATCTCGAACCGATACTTGAAAAGCGCACGACTACATTATTTTAATTATAATCAAGATTAGGTAAAAGGGTTATGAATTTGTGATCTCACTTAAAAATTTTATCTTGAAGAATAAATGTCAATTTTAAAAATTCCCAGTAATGCTACAAAGAATCATTAAAAATTAAACAATTGTTAGATTATTTCATTAAATGTGCATCTCGAACCAATGCTTGAGAAACGCGCACGACTACATTATTTTAATTATAATCAAGATTAGGTAAAAGGGCTATGAATTTGTGATCTCATTTAAAAATTTTATCTTGAAGAATAAATGTCAATTTTAAAAATTCCCAGTAATGCTACAAAGAATCATTAAAAAATTAAACAATTGTTAGATTATTTCATTAAATGTGCATCTCGAACCAATGCTTGAGAAACGCGCACGACTACATTATTTTAATTATAATCAAGATTAGATAAAAGAGCTATGAATTTGTGATCTCATTTAAAAATTTTATCTTGAAGAACAAATGTCAATTTCAAAAATTCCCAGTAATGCTACGAAGAATCATTAAAAAATTAAACAATTGTTAGATTATTTCATTAAATGTGCATCTCGAACCAATGCTTGAAAAACGCGCACGACTGCATTATTTTTAATTATAATCAAGATTAGGTAAAAGGGCTATGAATTTGTGATCTCACTAAAAAATTTTATCTTGAAGAATAAATGTCAATTTTAAAAATTCCCAGTAATGCTACGAAGAATCATTAAAAAATTAAACAATTGTTAGATTATTCCATTAAATGTCATAACTATTATGAATATTTAATGCAATCTATTATATTTAAGATATGCTACGAAGAATCATTAAAAAATTAAACAATTGTTAGATTATTCTATTAAATGTCATAACTATTATGAATATGTAACATTTAATGCAATCTATTATATTTAAGATATGCATAGCGTATAAGTTATAAAGCCTAATTTTTTCCTAAAATTACGCCCCACAGAATTGCAATCAAATAAATTACAGTAATTTCGTGTTGCGGCATTTTAATTAAAACTTTTCCTCCGCAAGCGAAAACACTTTAATGATGGTTCGCAAAATGACGCGCGTGCTTAATGCAAACTATTCCGCTATTTTATAGCCATGACGTGCATTTAAATTCTGTTTACAAGTGATAACTATTCCTTTCACTGATACGCTATTTAGAATTAAAATGATCCTGTTCATCTAATTGCTCGATTGTCTGCCGAAACTTTTTTGCGCGATCTCTGATGTATCTGACGCATTACTTCGAGATGGGTCTTTATTTAACGAGAGAAACTGTTCAAAGTACCATTGGCTTTTCTTTCAGGAACCTGAATCGCGAATCATCCCGCTGTGATTGTGCCGAGGAAACGCGCACGTTGTCCTCTCCTCACCTAAATATCCTTCATTATTCTGGCGACTCTAAGGTTTACGGTTGTCCACCGTGTGATTATCCGGAGTCCAATCGCAAGGGGCTCGTAAAGATACAGGGTCTATCCTAACAGGATCGACTTCAAGTGGCATGCAAGAAAACAACTATCCCGGAGTGCAATTAAGAGGGCAAAAATGGCCTCTATCATTATATACGAGCAATTTAAATAAATTACGCGAAACTCTGTTCGCGGAAAATCAGAATACCTATACATATTTATATACGTATATCCACGTAGATAAAAATTAGAGAAAATTTATGGAATAAAATTTCGCTACGTGGGAGCGCAAAAAAATGTCAGAGATATTAAACATTGAATTTCGCGCGATCCTCGCAATTTCGTAAAATCGGCCAATTATTATCATATGAATCGTTCGTGACACTCACCTCTCACCTTCGTAGAAGCCCTCGAACTCCTCCTGCTGCTCGTTGATGGAGGCCTCGAGGTCCAGATAAGCGCCATAATCTCCGCCCTTGTACAGCTGGAGCGCCGTGTCGTCGAGCTGCAACACAGGTAGCGCATTGCGTTTGAGAACACGTGCTATTTTGCGTGCATGCTCGCGCAGCGGTAATCGCATCGCGGAAATTATTGCCGCGCCGATGGCGGTTATTAGCCGTTTTTCGCATAACCGCTGTCCACTTAAGCACCGCATCCGCAAGGGACGATAGCCAGCTTGTCGAACCGCGAATTCTTCGACAAGCTCGCGCATCCTTACGACGCGCAGAAATTTTATTGGCAAGTGGACAAAGGATTCATGCGGATCTTTTTCCGAAGACAAAGTATATTATTTCCACAAATATATAAATGCACATCAATATTTTTTAATGTTGTTCGAATAAAATAAAATGTTCTTATACTAGAAATTTTCTTTTATTGTTCAAATAGAAAAATAAATGACTTTTAATTCTTTTATAAAACACATGAGCGATTTTATTCATGCAATTTTAATAATATGTAAATTTTTTTCTGGTTACTGTTTTTTAAATGTTACAATCTGTTAACTCTGAAAATTTATGCACAATAATCCATACAGTATTACTATACATAAAATATTTTATTTTCTAAAAAATGTATTATCTATATTACTTTTATATTTATTTATTTATGTTAAATTATCTTGCTCTTAATCATTAAACTTTGGATTTATTTACTTAAACTATGTTTCGATGTTAGCTTTATTTTCTAAAATTTCTAATATTTAATATTATTTAATATTTTCATTAAAAGACAATATAAATTTTGTAACTTTTCTCATATTTTTTTTAATTAAAAATCGAGTAGTTTTTAAATGAGATTATCGTTGCACAAACAATCTATTTTTTTTTTTAAGTTTAAATTCACATTTCAAAAGGGAAAGGTTACTTTTTTTTTAAATTGCATGATTGATTCGAAATCAAGTTTACGTCCATTTAGTTGAAACGAACAATTTCTCTTATTGAGAAATCTTCAAAGCTTTGGAACGAGTTCAACGGCACGTATAGGAGTCTTACGGGTCAACAATCCGGACTAATGCGGTTAATCTGCTAAATTTATCTAGGGATCAGTTGGTCCACATACGCGCCGTTCCCATACGAAAGATGATAATCGCTTGGTTCAGAATCAGGTGGTTTTCACCGAAAGAGCCTTTGGCTTGCATAGCTCATCTCAAAATATCAAAAGTATAAATAAAAATGAAACTATAATACACATATAGTGTAAAATTTATTTAATGATATAAAATTAATCACGCGCATGATTGCACGGTAAATTAAGAACCGCAATAAACTCTTCCCAAGTTTCACTTTTTACACCTTGTCACGAAAAAATATATAACTTTTGTCACGAAAAAATAAATGACTTTTCGCTTTAAAAAAATTTAAGTAATCTCTGTTAGTTTCTAGAAAATATTAAAACAGATGTATACACTTCATAAAATAAAGATAGCAAGTCAGAAGCCGGAAAAAAGTAATAAACAGAATTTTTCATCCTATTTCCTAATTTAGTATTTTTGGAGTAAAGAATTTTCGCTATATCGAAAGAAAAATCATTCATATATAATAATGAAAAAAAAAAGATGAAACACTTCATAAAATAAAGATAGCAAGTCAGAAGCTGGAAAAAAAGTAATAAACAGAATTTTTCATCCTATTTCCTAATTTAGTATTTTTGGAGTAAAGAATATTCGCTATATCGAAAGAAAAATCATTCATATATAATAATGAAAAAAAAAGATAAAACACTTCATAAAATAAAGATAGCAAGCAGAAGCTGGAAAAAAAGTAATAAACAGAATTTTTCATCCTATTTCCTAATTTAGTATTTTTGGAGTAAAGAATTTTCGCTATATTGAAAGAAAAATCATTCATATATAGTAATGAAAAAAAAAGATGAAACATTTCATAAAATAAAGATAGCAAGTCAGAAGCTGGAAAAAAGTAATAAACCGAATTTTTCATCCTATTTCCTAATTTAGTATTTTTGGAGTAAAGAATTTTCGTTATATCAAAAGAAAAATCATTCATATATAATAATAAAAAAAAAAGATGAAACACTTCATAAAATAAAGATAGCAAGCAGAAGCTGGAAAAAAAGTAATAAACAGAATTTTTCATCCTATTTCCTAATTTAGTATTTTTTGAAGTAAAGAATTTTCGCTATATCGAAAGAAAAATCATTCATATATAGTAATAAAAAAAAAGATGAAACACTTCATAAAATAAAGATAGCAAGTCAGAAGCTGGAAAAAAAGTAATAAACAGAATTTTTCATCCTATTTCCTAATTTAGTATTTTTGGAGTAAAGAATTTTCGCTATATCAAAAGAAAAATCATTCATATATAGTAATGAAAAAAAAAAGATAAAATCGCAGAAGCAACAAGTTGACGACGCGACACGTGTCGCGCGTAAAGAAACACACGGGGAATCGCGGCGTCGACAAGAAACTTCACCGCGATCGCGACTAAATCAAATTCTTTACGGACGTCGAATTTCTCCCGGGTCGCGATTCACTGTCGCGCGACCCCGTTAAATTTCCCGTCGCGAAGGACCGTAAAAATGTAACAGCCGGACGGTCGCGCCGGCCCGATTCGACGTAAATCTCGCACGATCTCGCGCCCTCGCCTCGCCGGTAACGACCGAATCGCGACCGGTGATAAATTGACCGGAGGTAAGTAACCCCGATGAGAGCACGAGAGACGACTTTCTTCCGGGCGCGTTCTTTTTTTAGGTCGCTTCCTTCTTTCACGAGATTAAGATTCCGCCAAGTCCAGCAAGGCAAACTGTCAGCGGAGCAGAACAGTGCGTTTACGTAAAATCAGATGAGAGTGAGAGTAATGCATAGATAAATATTCCTTTATAAACAATTAGCGAGAGATCTGTTTCGCGACAATTACATTAAATGACGATTCGAGGAATAAAATATATAAAAATGCTCATGCTTTTAAAAAATGCGTTGATTTCGTTTTTTATAAAAATAATATCTTGACGTAGTTTTATGCGAATAACTCTGTTTCTGTATAGTTTTAGTATATTGACAGTTATGAATAATTTATTGTTAATTTCTATTAATCTTTAATCTTAAATGATGCGCTGAAGAAGGTTGAAAAAAGGCAACCGAAACGTTCGAACTTTTTTGTCTAATATTTTATGTTAAAAATTTTTTTCCACAAATAAATATTAATAACAGAACTTAATTAGCTCTTATTGCCTTTTATATGTATATTAATTTTTAAAGAGCTGTTACAAATTATATAAATATTTCTCTTTAAGAATCTTAGAGATCTTTAATACTATTATAAGATAAATAGTTTAGTTGGTCAAGAAAACTAGCCAACTAGGATTTAGCATTGGTGCAATTCATATAAGACTTCTAATATAATACGAGACATAATTAAGGATGGTAATTTGACAATAAATTCCTTTACATTTTTTTAAATTGATTAACATCCTAAATATGATTTGAAAAATTTGATTAAAATAATTGTTTTAGATTCCAAGATCACTTTCCTGTAATAGAAGGCTTTTTATTTTCTATAATCTCCTTTTTAATTTTTCGAAAATAAAAACAAAATATCCTTCCTAATTTTCCCAATCAGAAGAACGTATCTCATGTGCACTTATCGTACAGAAGAATATGTGTAACTTGAGACAAGCCCATCCAACTTGGTATATATATTTGGAATAGGGTGCGCGCTCTGAGTCACAATAAAGATTTTGTTTTTTCTCTCTACTTCTCTTCAAACTTCCATCGAGTAAAAATAAAACGCGAACGAAATGTTACTTAGAGTTCAAACATATTTCCAGGGTATATGTCGCAAATGGAACGTGCATCTCCCAAGTTAGCACGCTTCGCAGCAAATCAAGAAGAATGAAAGAGAAAGGAATGGTGATCGCACATCGCGTTCAACGCAGACTCCGTCCAGGATATGAAGAAAAGGGGGACGATGCGAATATACACATACGCGTTGTTGTGTGACCTATATTTCTAAAAATCTCAGCTTCAAAATAGTTGGTCGCGCTAGGCGCGGTAAAGAGATACTACCGGTAGTCGACGCGTTTGCGTTGCGGAAACCGCACGCATGCGGTCGATTACGCAATACGTTTCGCTTCTCAGCTTCGAAAGCGATCTCTACTTTTTGCACCACCGGAAGAACTCTCTATCGTATTAAACGAGTGTATCGAACATCATATACGCTATATACACAATTAAATATTCATAGTCTGATGAATTACTCTTCAATAGATGCATTAATATCTTAATCTCTTTTCGGATTAAAGGGAGAGAGAGAGATTTTTAAATTCTTAATTTTATAAATTAACGTATGACTTAATTAGGGTGTTTCGCTAAACTAATATTTAATTTCAATATTTTTCTTGTCTTTTTTTTTAATATTTTATAATTTTTTTAAATTTGCAATCTATTATATAAATGTAAATAAAAAATGAATAAGCTTGAAAATTTAAAGTTGAAAGTAAAAAATGATTACGAAGAATTTTTGCGTCATGTCTGCGTAAATGACAATTGATGATTGACAAGATATGAAGCCAATATTTAGAATGGCTAACGTGTTCAGATCTCGAATACTATTAGTAAAGCTATTTTCCAGCAAGATTTTATAACACACAGGCAGCACTCGGATCATTATATGTTAACATTAGTTTAACAAGCCTAAACAATTTCTACCTCTATTTTTCAAACTTTTCTGTATATCGTAACAAAACTAAAAAAAAAATATATATTTTAACATTCAGAGTAAAATATATTTTATGATACACTGGAAATGTATAATTCGAGCGTTATGATAAAATAAGAATGTAAAAAAAGATTTTTATTAATTTTAAGAATTAATAAATCAAATTTTTTAAATAAAATTTCCTTCATTTTCGAGATTTGATTTCCCCGTAAATCACACAATAAATTGCAAACGATATTTCGCGTGATTCTTGAGTCGGAAAGCTCCGAATCGTAATCGAGCAACACATATTGACGGAACAATTCTAGTAGCGTGTAAACGTCGTCCTTGC